CCATCTTTAGATCTCTCCCCCCCCCAATTAATTTGATTAGTTCTTTTTGGAAGGCCATCTGTGCTGCGACATCAATCTGTGGCCAGGAATCCTATCTGTTAATTACGCTTTGCACGAAGGCAGAGGTACTTCTGCAGGTTGTCAACGTCCTGCCAATCCATGTCCCCTGGGTGAGCCTAATACAAAATTCTTGGGCTTTGGGGCAGATGATGGCTGATGCCCACCTCCATGCCATCTCTGCCCCTCGGATGATTTCAGTGTTCTCCCGACACCCACCCTGCAGCAATCTTCTACGGCCGAAAATAAAAGTGAAGGGGGACAGCCAACTCCCCTTTCTACCGGACAAAATGAAGGAGCCTTTCGCCAGCCCATATCAAAAAAAATCTAGAGCTGCCAAAGTGAAAAACGTTGCACCAGACAGTGTGGTCTCAAGTAAAGGCAGGACACAATGTTGTATCCCATAATGGCAGCAAACATGGTAAAAAGCGCGCGGGGGGGCCCTCATCCTTTCCTCCAAACCCCCCCCCCATTCATTGGCTGTAGCTCCCTTTCCACATTTAAAGTACAACTTTTTATTTTGGCATGAAACACAGGAAATGACAGGAGATGGGAGCGCCAGGAGCAGGAGAAGGGCTGAATCTCGAAAACTGCCTTCAGGTTGCTGAGCAAGGTGGTCAGAGGGGTAGAGGACCCCCGAAACCCAACCGCTTAAAGTAAAATTAGGAGATGAAATACTGTGTTTTATACATCGCCACCAGTTTTAATTTTATAGGCTTCCCAAAAGCAGAAAGGGTCTTACGGACTTGGGGGTGGAGAGGGACAGATGGGTGAAAATGAAGGCATACGCTTTAGCGGAGGAGATTCTCCAAAGACTCAGATGGGTTCAGAAGAAGGAAGGAAGGATGGAAGGAGAGTCTCAGAGCACCTTTAAGGTGGGCAGGTTTCTTTCCTGGTGAACTTTCATGAATCATAGTCCGGTTCTTTGATATGCATGGGAGTCCTAGTTAGGTTGGGTGACATGGGGGTCCAAATAATGATATTCTCCCATATATTCAAAGAGCTGGTGAGCATAAACATCCTAGCTTTATTAAGAGCAATTCGGAGAACATTGTTAACACAGTGTCAAAACGCCGTTTTCTAAATCTTTTCCCGATGCGTAAGAAATATATCTGTTTGTTTTAAGAGCGACGCAAACATTCTTTCCCCCTTTTTTTAAACAGCCAAGCGGAGATAGCGACAGCAGCCGTGAATGGAACGTTTGGATCAGGGAAAAAAGGTTGAATATTTTTTTGCCCATCTTCTAGTTGGTTTGCTCGGAGTCTGGCTGTGGGGTGGGAAGGAGTAAAACCAGACATCAGCAGTTCATTTTTCTCCCCGTATGTTTCTGGGTGAAAATGTTTTACATTGATTTCTATTGACAGCGGCACCTACCAAAGGGATCTCTGTTTTCCAAAATGCATTGGGACACAGTTGTGCAAGGAATGAGAAACATTTTTTTTCTCTCTTGCCTTTCCTGGCTGCCCAGAGAGGTAAAAAAACAACAACACTGTACAGTATCGTGGGTGGACGTGGGTGTCAGCGATGATGGTTTTGATATCATCTCTACCATTTTCCAACCACCCTATCTACCGTCAGCCTAGGGGGTCAAACAACACAAGGCACCATCTTTACAATTAGCAGGTGACAGCACATTTTTTTCTGAGTTATCTAGTTCCACCCTAATGCACCAAATCAGCAAATACCGAGTGCTGCACTTGGAAATCATCTCTCCAGATGCAAATATATATATCTTTCAGCAACAGAATCAGGAAGGGTTAAGGACAAGAACAGAGAGAGGTGGGTAAAAGGGGCTGGGGATGAAATCCCTTACCTGCACTTCACAACTAATGCGGAGGGAAATCCAGGCAGCAGGTTAGCAAAAGCAGAAATGGAAAAAAAAGACTCCCAGGGACTTTTGCTGCTCACGATAAGGGTCCCGAAGGAAAATGAAGAAGTCGGTGCCAGAGAACCGTGAACCACTAACTCGGGCTGCTGAGGAAGACAGAGGAGTTGGGGGGGAGGGAATAAGAGGCTCTAAATCCATTGCAGCTTTACACTAACGAGCAATTAGGTTAAGAGGAGGAAAAGATCCTGTGATGCTATTTTGCACTCAGAGACATTGGTTACCGCTTGGCGGGGAGGGGGTGGGGTAGCATGGTCGAAGGAGCGGCCTGGCGTTGTGCCGTTCACACATTCCCGAGGAACAAACTCGCAGGTTGGCCAAATAATCTCAGCCGGATGAGAGTCCGAGGAGGCCTGCCTTGCCTGATGAAGGAGGGTGTTTGCCGGACGCCGTCGCTCAAAGACCCACTCAAAGAGGGGGTCTGCTTTTTCTTTTTCTGAACCCCAATTTCACTTGTTCACCTCTCATTATTCCCTGACGTGTCCCTCCTGCAGCCACAGAGTACAAAATCACAGGAAAGACAACGAGGCCGTATTGGATGATTTCCTGACTTGGCTGAGGTTGGTCTAGATGACCTTTGGGTGCCCTTCCAACTTTACAAATCCTTGATGTGAATCTCTCTCTCTCTCTCTCTCTCTCTCTCTCTCTCTCTCTGTGTGTGTGTGTGTGTGTGTGTGTGTGTGTGTGAGAGAGAGAGAGAGAGAGAGAGAGAGAGGACAGATTGCCAACATGTTTTTTCTCACTCTTGATACTCAACATCTCTATGCTGAACCCTACCCTTCACTTTCTTTCTTCAGCTCCTCCTCCTCCTCCTCCTTCTTCCTCCTTTGCTAGAGAGACGCAGTAGTGCATGGCTTCTTTGCCTAATGGCTTCTTGAACACACACGCAGGCTCAGAGGCTTCTGTAAATAAGCCTAGGCACCTTTTTCCTTCTCTCCTGCACTATCCGGAAACGGAGGTCATGCCGCAATAAAAGTATTTGTGTTGGTTTATTTTTGTCTATGAATAGTCTCCATAACAGTTATTCCTCTTCGACGGTCACCACGCTTAGCTGCTGCGCTCTGCTTGTCAAAGCGCCAAACAACTAACACTTCCATCCACCCACCCTTAAAATGCCAACTTTTCCAGGAATTGAGGGATGACACCCACAGGCGCTGTTCGCATACAGTTTTCAACTCTGTTCCAAAGCTGCCCCATGGGTTAGTCCTAGAGGCCTAGTTTCTCCAGAGATCGACCCCCAGGTAAGTAAAAGGGACCTCTGAGTTTAGCATAGCAGGATGTTGGTTTCAGAACAGCCTCCAAGGGAACAAGGGGCTGGGTTCAATACTCAGCCTGGCGCTCCTCGCCCGCTGACTCACGTGCACGCTGCCTTAATCATTCCCTGGGAGCCTCCTGCATTCGTGCTGCATCAGAAAACAGACTCTGTAAAAAATCTGCCAGGCTTTGAAGCAGGGCCTTTGATTTTTTTCCCATCCTGTGGTCTACTCAAGAGGTGCGAGGGCACAAAAGGCAGAGAGAGAACAGCCTTGGGGGTGGGGGAGGCTGTTGGGAAGCAAAGGAAGGGAAACATCCCTGGTTGGGAAGGAGGGTGGGGAAGAGTTGCTGGAAAGGAGCCCTCCTGGTCTCCCCGGAGTATTTCTCCAGCTGCCGAGAGGCGGCTTTGATGCTGCCGCTCTGTCTGGTAAAGTCATTGCGGTTTTTCACTGGTGGAGGAAAAGGCGGTGAGGTAATGGGAGACCCGGGTAAGGCCAGAAAGAGCTGCC